TGTGCATCATCGTATTGTGACGGCTTGATTCGTTGCTCACGTCATTAATCACTGGATCATCAAATACCAATTCGTAAAGGGCACGTTCGTTTTATAAATACACATTTTGTAGGGTTTTAATTCCACTCTCCCTTTCCACTGAGATTATAAATTTGTTACATACTATTTAAGCTATACTTCTTAAAATAGTATTTGCATTATCAACCTTGATGACACTTAAGTTTGCATTACTTTCTTCTCAAAATGGCGAAAAAATAATAATAACAACAACAACAATAATAATAATAATAATAATAATAATAATAATAATAATAATAATAATAATGTGGGACATAATCTCAATGTCGGTGTTGAATTTTTTTATGCTTCTCAACTGCTCGACCGTACAGAAATGAGGGTCAACCAAGCAAAGTGCCATATCAAGTTGGCCCAGACTCAGCTTTTAAAGGAGAGGCTATCTGAACGACCACTGCATCGAGTTTATGTGCAGTGTGTTGAGAAGATCAGCAATCCTGCAGAGTCCTTCGCTTGGATGAAGTCGTCTGGCCTGAAAAGTGAAACATAATGCTTTCTGTTTGCTGCTCAGGACTCCCACTCGAAACCGTCAATGTGTGATTTTGCATCAAAATGTAAATATGAAATGTAGATTATGTAATGAATTTAATGAGACTGTCCAACACATTGTCAGTGGATGCCCAGCTTTGGCACAAACACAATTTCTTAAACGACATGATGGTGTACATGCTTGTGGTTTTGACACAGAGGTCCATCCATGGTACGACCCGGAATATGTAGAGGGCGTCATGGAAAATGATAGATACAAAATTCTTTGGAATAGGCCCATTTACAGCCTCAGAGGTTTCCAGGCCAACAAACCTGATCTTGTCCATTTTTATAAATCCAGTGAAATCATTTATATCATTGAATTTTTCTGTCCCTTTTGACAGTAATGTGATTGACAAGATTGAGGAAAAACATGGCAAATATGCGGACCTCGCTTTCGAAATGTCACGCTTGCATCCCAAGTACCAAGTTGTCCGACTCCCCATTGTTCTCGGTGCCTTAGGTTTGGTACCTCCCAATCTGTTGACTGTCATTGGGAGAGTACCCGGGTTTGCTGTCAGGAATACAGCCCTTCTGACAATCTGTGTAATGCAGAAGGCTGCAGTGTTGGGGCGTCTTCACATTCTCCGAAAAGCTCTGGGTGGGTTTGACTAGGCAGCGCTTCCTGGAAAAAAGTCCCATTCGCCTAACCAGTCTGACTATGCCAGGATCACCCAAACCCTCTTTGCTGCATTTTTTATTTTAATCTGTAAATAATAATGATAGTAATAGGATTGAGAATAGTCTCTCACTGTTACTTAACCTTTAAACACGTAAAGCAGAATAATTTGCAAAATAAATATCCCTTGTTTCTTCCTTTTAAATAGGGGCAGTTGGGTAGCTTTGTGGTAAAAGCTTTGTGGAAGACCCGGGTTCGATTCCCAACATGGGTGCAATGTTTGAAGCCGAATTCTGGCGTCCTCCGCCGTGCTATTGCTGGAATATTGCTAAAAGGGACGTTAAACAAATGCTCAATCACGCCTTTCAAATACCTTCCTTGAAAACCCACCATTCTTATTATTTTAACATACTTATCAGACTGATTATTCTCTGGCGTTTGCGTTTTCATATTTACTTACTGGTGGTGGACCGTCCCCGAGTTTCATCGCAGGCCCAGTCGCATTTTTTAATCAAGCTGAGACAAATATGGAAGCAATATTTGGGCCAAGACATAGCCCACTTAGATACCATGCCGCAGTTTAACATGAATGCCACACTCAGACACAGTTTACTGACCAGTGTTAGCCCCTTCATGTCGAACACCGAGCAGTGTAATATCCAGTACCAATAGGCAACTGTAATAGGCAAACTAATAATGCTGACATGTTTATTTCAGTATAAAACTTTACAATAGCTTAACAAAACTAAATAATATGTCAACAGAAAATCTGAAAGTCCGCACACTTTTGCGTTTAATGAAAGTAATCTCAGTCGGACAATAGATTTATGACTGAAATCAGTGTTGAACACACTAGGACCTATGCCAAATTGTCTTCAGTCACACTGTTGTGAACCCCACGCTCTCCAGGTTGTTTAACTGAGCCACGTCATGTAGGCATATGTCTGTTTCCACTACAGAAATAATCGACATATTTGAAATTTGATTTCTTTTTCTTTTTTGGATATACTTAAGTTACCTCTTAGAATTGTTTCATAATGCTGATAAATAAAGATCTTCTTATTAAAGGACATTTTTACTTTCGAGAAAATAGTGAAAAGCATTTTCGCACGGGGACACCGTAAGAGCAAGAAATAGTGTCCGACAAATTAACCCTAAATAAATAATTCAGATTGCTACATCTATGTCTAAGTCTTGTGTGGATAATATTAATTTCACACCAAGAACTATGTTTCTATAACGCCAAAAAAAACCATGCAAAACAAGAAAGTGAATGAATAGAATGCGTACAGAAAGTGTACAACTGTATCAATGATGAAGATAGTTATAAATATTAAACTGGTTTGTTGGTTGAGCATGTCTTGATATTAGGTTTTATCCATTTGCCATCACAACGGGAATCACACGGTGTCTGCCTGTACACTATAAATAAGTGTGTGGTATTATCTACTTTGAACGTGTCTTACGAATAATTGAAAGTAAACACCAATATGTCAGCAGCTATGGTTGTCCAACCAAGACAAATATAGGCTTTAGTGTCTTCAATCAGGCACTGAATGTAATTCTGTGCTTGCCTATGTATCAGATCGTTCAGGGACATATTTGACTTTTACCAGGTCAGATGCTTTAAACATTATTGAGATTATATATTCAAAACATTATGTATTAAGCAAACATGATGACGTTCATTTTAAAATTACACACTTTGTAGGGTTTTAGTTTTACTGTTCCTTTCCATATTATAATGCATGTTCAACCTTGATGATACTTCAATTTGCTTTACTTTCTTCTAAAAATGGTGATGGAAATGATAGTAATATTTCCAGTGATGGAGAATAGTCTCTTACTGTTAATTAATCTTTCAACATATAAAGCAGATTAATTAGCAAGAACAAGTATCCTTAGTTTCTTCCTTTTGCATAGGGGCGATGGTGTAGCTTAGTGGTTAAAGCGTTCGCTCATCACGTAGACGACCTGGGTTTGATTTCCCCACTTAGGTATAATGTGTGAAGCCCATTTCTGGTGTCCCCGCAGCGATATTGCTGGAATGTTGTTAAGATCGGCCTAAAAAATACACATTCGCTCCTTTCCTAACTATTATCACACACAGACTGATTATTCTTTGGCGTTGACGTTTGAATATTTACTTGGTCTCTGGTGATGGACCGTCCCCGTGTTTCACCGTAGGCCAAATAGCATTTTTCAATCATGCCGAGTCAATAACAAAAGAAATGTTTGGGCTGAGACATAAAACATATCTTGTCCACTGTCATATCTTTGTCTGGTTAAGACCCAACTGTTTAACAGGCCTACGTCATAATGTAGCGTTAGACTACAAAAAAACACTTACTTGTTTGTGCACAGTAATAAAGCAAAACGCGACTACAAACATCTAAACATAGCCCACGAACTAAGCCACCAGGTTAAAAAACTAGTCCAACTAGCCAAAAGTAGAGACTGGAAAAAATTCTGCGAAGGTATAAATAACCGTACAGATGCCAGAACGGTTTTGCGCAAAATCCACGCCATTAGAGGCTTAAAACGACATAAAAAAAACCCCTAACATTAACAACTCAACCAACCCCGCCCAAAAAGCAAATAATCTCGCCAACCACTTTTCGGCCGTTAGCAGTAACACCAACTTCAGCCAAAAATTCCAAGATAAACTTAAAACAAAACACAAACCCACAAAAGAACCAAACAATAACAATCTAGAAATAAACCAACCCTTCACAATGGAGGAGCTCCTCTACGTAATCCAAAACAGGAAAAAGGGCACAGCCCCAGGATTAGACCTAACTTCTTACCAAATAATTAAAAATCTCCCGCTTAAACTACTCCAGGCACTTCTCAAACTATACAATCTCATCTACCTAAACGGACAGGTTCCTACTCCCTGGAAACAGGCCCTAGTCATACCAATCCCTAAACCTAATAAACCAGCTAATCAAGCTAACTCATATAGACCAATATCCCTAACTTCAAACTTATGCAAAGTAATGGAATCAATGGCTAAAAATAGATGACAACATTACCTAACCCAAAATAACATCAACTTTGAACTGCATGGCAAGTATTTATAAAACGACCGGGGGAGGAAATATTCTTGGGGGAGATTTTATTTCGTAGGGTGGGGGAGAGTTTATTTCGAGAGGGGCGGAACTGTACCGGTATAAATTCGCAGGGGGGAGATTTTATTCTGGGGGCGAATATATTTCGTGACACTGGCTGCTACCAAGCAGAGCAGGACATATTTACCATTTTCTCGAACAGCTGGTGTAATTTCATATTTTCGGTGATCCATTCATATTATGTTCCCAAATATTTTGCACTTTACGCCAAATAGAATCTGTTGAGTTGACGTTCTACATTTACACCGATGCGGCTTGTAGGATAGGATTATTATGCTCGCCTTTTCGCAAACATCTGGTATCATCACTATTTCATTGTGATTCATAAACACATGCTCATGATATAAGCGAAATCGTACAATGGACTCTGCTTTGAGCAGTAACTTCTTTGAATGAGGTGAAATGGGGTTTAACGTCATGTTCAAAATTATTGCTCACATATAGCGACCTGCGTGTGTGCGTGTGCGTGTGCGTGCGCGCGCGCGCGTGTGTGTGTGTGTGTGTGTGTGTGTGTGTGTTTGTTTGCGTGTGTGTGTGTTAATGCCGATTGCCAGGCAGTGAAGTTTAACAACAAGTATCATCAATTAACGTCTTTTGATATGACGCGGCCGGACATCGAGATAAACAAAATATAACAACCAAGATAATAATGTTGAAATATTTATGTCAGTCTAAAGGTTTTAAGACATTTAACAACATTACATAACATGTCACCAACAAGAGCATTTCAATGTTCACACACTTTCCCCATGATTTTAACTTTGAGGAAAGTGCGATCACTGGCGCAGCCTCAGAAAAGCGACTGGAGATTTATGACTGAAATCAGTTTTGAACACATGAGGAACTTTACTTATTTGACTTTAAGCTTCAGTCACACTGTGGTGGAACACACGCTCTCCGGGTTCTTTAACTGAGCCACTTAACATAGGCAGAACAAAGACCTTTTCCGGCACGACCACCGGAACCGATGCTGCGGTTGATGCCGAAGTAGATGTCGTAGTTGGGGGAGCCGCCCTCGGAGTCCGACTGTCCGTTCAAGGCAAACAGTAGGTTAGTGTTGAGGAAATAGTTGAACTCTGCTCCCCAATTATTCCAGATGACGAGGCCGTCGGCGATGATGACGCTGAGACGGTTGTAGATGATGTTTGGCCGGGTCAAGAGAATCCCTCCTTTTGGCGAGTTCATATCGTTACCATAGATGCGAAATGTTGAACTTTTTCCTTGTATTTCGGCGTCTCGAGATGTGGAACGACTATCGCCACCTGTGATTATAAAATATAGCAGCATGGAGGACATATAGTTGTACCAGCTATTGTTGTAACGTTTCCGATCTTGAATTCAATCAAAGTGACGAGCATGGGTATGATTCTGACAGGTCAAGATTTCAGGGATTTTGACCTGCGTTCACAGGTTTGCAGAACAGCACATAGCTCAAACACTGGGGGATGTCACATATACCTGTTTCGAAAGTATATATGTCGTATTTGTCAGTATGGGCCAATCGTCTGCACCACTTCTATTTGAATTACTTCAAACAAACGGTTTTTCTCAGAAGTTAAGCATCATAATCAACAGTTAATTATTATGGTGATTGGTATGTGACAACGTGATATGAAGGGACTGTGAGAATAAAAACTACCTTGATAGTAGGCATGGTAGGCCTGTGATTGTTGGGCCCTGGACAGTTAAATGGGGTCTTTTCAATATGAGTCAATTTTTCACAAATGTATGTTGCTGCTTGCGAAGCATCCTAAACAGCTGGATAAGGAAGAAAGGGATAGCATTTGGGGATTGTCCGCACAAAATATATTTGGAGTTGGTCTTAAATATGTTTAATCGATTTACTCATTTCTATTTTGAAAACAATTGTCAATTTCTACACTACTGTTGTTTTTTCTGTTCGTACTTTTTCTAAATAATCTGTACATTTAATCTCTGTTTTAACTCTGTTTCATCGTTTGTTAATCGTCCTTACCCCAAGGCCACATACACCCTCCGAAGTTCTCACTCTCTATTTATTACCACGATTCATAATATACAAGTAATATACAGTTTGGAAAACGTTACGATTACACTGTAGTTAACTGATTCGGTTACATCATGTGCTGCTAGTAATTAACCACAGGTGTCAAACAATACACCTCAAAGATCTTTCACTTAAAATAATATGAAGTCGTTGCCGTCAGTGCATTAACTTCTTTATGATAAGTAACAGAATCCATTTATCCATGATAGATCCCTACTTATAACTAGTATTGACTGGTATAGATTGTTGGTTGGCCTACCGTATCCATTGTTGGTTGGTGAGTCGCCGATATTGAACACCCAGCCTGATGGGTTGCTAAACCACATGTCAATCAGAACTTTGTTCTTCCTGCTTTTAGACCCAGGGGCCCCAAAGCTCAGCTTGAGAACGCCCCTCTTCCGGCACGTGCCTGTTCCATATAGTGATGTCTTCCAGGACAGAGAGCTGCTGGTGTTGATGGTCGTTCCTGACGTCAGGTCAACAAATAGGTCATATCCTGCAGAAGATAAAGCATGTATTGTAACGACAGAACCACAGTGAACTGGGGATATGATAAAATGAATAGACTACACACCACACCACATGTTTTTCACTGTTTACAGATTAATTATCAATACTTCATCGTCAAACACATAAAATGCAAACACATAAGAATGGCAAATTATTTATACATCCATTAATCAACGAAGCTGTACTTCGCGTTTCTCAATTTAAATAAAAGTCATTCCCGATTTGTGAAATTTCAGTTATTTCGTGAAAAGAAAAACATATGACCAACAAAAAATTGTATTTGCCACAACAGGTCTCGACCCGTGAAGATACGGGATAGAATAGGTTTTCAGCAACCCATGCTTGTAGTAAGAGGCGACTAACGGGATCGGGTTTTCAGGGCTGCTGACTTGGTTAATGCATGCCATCGTGTCCAAATTTGCGTGGATCCATGCTCATGATGTCAAACACTGGATTGTCTTTACCAAACTCGATTATTTACAAACCGCCGTCATGTAGCTGGAGTATTGCTGAGTGCGGCGTTGAAGAACAAACAAACAAACAAAATAGGTCTCCTCGTTTATGAGCTTTAAAAAGCGAAAGAGAGCCCTCATGGTACATAGTTGTTTCCACACTACAGATACAAACATACACAGAACACATACCTGTGGCGACAGAGACACAGCACAGCACAGCTAACGTTGCGGGTAGTTGGAGATGCATAGCTGCTGAAGGACAGTCGACTTCTCTCTGTGTCCGAGGTGTGTGGTGCCGTGTACACCCCGACCTCATATATACGTCATCCCGACAGAGATCAACCAATAAGATAGCCTCCCATCACGTCATTTATCCGGGATGTCTCAAAACGGGAAGCTTCGTCTTGGATGACTGGTTAACGATCTGATTTGGTCTTCAAATATTTATTTACACTTTGTCATGTAGCCGCATACTTTCTTTCGATTTAATGTACTGTTGTGTCTTGCATAAAGTACAAATCGCTTTTTGAAAAGCATTGTGCCTTATAGTTCATAGCAGTGTACGCCCACGTTACAAACTTTGACAGCGGAATAGTGATCTAGAATGTATTCATATGGTGAGATATCAACAATCACAATACGGCAAACACCACATGGCAAATTTATGTTCAGGGAATTTCTTCACTGATATTCAGTGATCCATTCAAATTATTTTAACTTTATACGCAAAATGGAATCTGTTGTTTCGGCGGGTAACTGGTTGTTCCTTGGAGTTGACGTTTATGAAAAAGACAAATAGAAAATATCATATTTTCAAACATCTTCTGGTAAGATTTTCTGATTTTTCTGATCGCCATTAACTATTTTACCCATCACAGGAATCTATCCCATAGACATGATTACTATCTTAGTAATACACTTAAATCAGCATGCCAAAACAGCAATTGCGGTTTTGAAAATCTTACAGAAAGTGTATATGTGTGTGTGAGTTGGGTTTAACGCCGCTTTTAACAGCATTCCAGTTATATCACGGCGTGACGGCTTAATGTGGGAGGAAAGCCTGAAGTGATGCAGGTGTCAGACGTTTACCACTTCGGTGAAACCCACGAGCACGGGTATAGTGCTGACAAACCTAGAAACATAATCGGGCACAGAAAGAGTATAATTGTAGCACTGAGGAAGTTACGTACATACACCAAACAACACAATAGTTGTGGATTGGTCGAGTATGTTTTATGATGTAAATACTTTGTGTGGTGAGTAAATATACCGCACCTTCATATATATCACCCTCTTGCGAGGCGTGTTTTATATTCGTGTTTACCGAGTCGTGCACAAATCTACCACGAGGCAGAAGAGCCCATTGTGTACATCTACCATTGGGTCTGTGGGCGTCAATGAGGTGAGACATATGTGTATGAAAAAATGGTTTCTGATTGGCTTAACAGCAGCAGTCGCTGTCAAATCAGAGTAGGTGTTTACTCCAGGGAGTCTATTTATGATCACTGACAACTGTTGGTATATTTTTCTTTGCATTAATATATATCCGAGATGAAAGGTCCCGTGTTCATGCCGAGTGATTCACCACATGCAGCCTTTCAAGAGGGCTCAGCCAATGGAAGAGCTTCCGCTGACGTCATATATCCGGGATGTCTCAAAACGGGAAGCTTCGTCACGAATCACTGGTTAACGATGACAATAACAACGATGTGATTGTATCTTTGGACTGTTAATTTTCTTTGTAAAGCGAGGTATATTTTCTAACTTTTATGTGTGATTAATTTTATTGTTATCTGATTTGCTCATCGTGATTTGAAGTAAATTGTCTTAGATGTTACTCCCTTGTTAATTCTGACTCAAAACAGTGATTTCCAAGTATGGTGAAGGAAATAACAATATCCAAAACACCACACACGCACACACACACACACACACACACACACACACACACACACACACACACACACACACACACACACACACACACACACACACACACACACACACACACACACATCGTGTTCTAACATCCAATCTCGCATATATATACACACGCATACGCACACACATACGTACATACGTAAATGCAATCTCTTGTTAATTCTGACTCAAAACAGCGACTCTCAAATTATAGTGATAGAAATAACAATATCCAAAACACCAAGCATGCACGCACGCGCATACATACATACATACATACATACATACATAGATACATACATACATACATACATACATACATACATACATACATACATACATACATACATACATACATACATACATACATACATACACACATACATACATACATACATACGCCAGGTGTTGTGTACAGGAAGTTGACAGATTTAGAGGCGGAAGTGTCATGGTTTTGGGTGCTTTCTGTGGCAATGCACGTTCCAGGCTTCTTGTCATCCGTGGCAACCTCAACCCTGCTGCTTACCGCGACCAGGTATTGGCACAAGAACTTCTGCCTTTTATGGCAGCACATGGACCCGGTTTGATCTTCCAACACGACAATGCCAGACCCCACACAGCAATTTTGACAAGGAATTTCCTTCAGAATGCGGGAGGCAACGTCATGGACTGGCCGTCAAGATCTCCCGACCTCAATCCCATCGAACACGTCTGGGGTGCTCTTGGCAGAAGTATGCGCACTCTCCAGAACCAACCACAGAATTTGCAAGATCTTGGCACCATTTTGCAGCAACAATGGCGTCGTCTTCCCAATCATGTGTTCACAAGCATCACAAGGTCCATGCGGAGGCGTTGTGTGGCAGTTGTCAACGCACATGGTGGCCATACACGCTACTGAACTTTTTGTTGTTTACATTTTTTATTCCTTTCGAAGGGTTGTACATCAGGTTCAGAGGTTACACGGTAGGTTTAGTCAATTGTAGTGAAAATACGTTACATGGATGTACATTTCATGTGATATAAATATAGCACACACAATCATCGCTGACCCTTTAGTATTTTCTTAAAATTATCAAAAATTTGTTTTGTCACCCTTAATACTTGATATATATATATCTTTTACTGGATATTATAATATGATTAAGTAAAAGTTTATTTTTGTCGAATCCAAAAATAACTGAGTATTTGGTAAGTGAGATCCTAGTATTTGTATCAAGGTTTAAAAAGGTTTCCAGTTTGCTCCAAAAGTGTTTAACATATTCACATTCCCAATATACATGTATAAGGTTTTCGCCATTTAAGTCACAAAAGGAGCAAATATCATTATCAACTAATTTCATTTTTAATAATTCCTTTTTGGTGTAAGTTATTCTATGGATAAACTTAAACTGAAAGTCAATCAATTTAGTATCTTTAGTACATTTTCTGAAATATGAATAAACTTCTTTCCATTGAATATCATTATCAGAAAGAGATTGATGTATTTACACTATAGATTAGTGTTATATCTACCTATGTACCACTTTATAATGTCACGGTACATCGTATTTAAAGGAAACAAGGGGCTCAAAGTAAAGCATTTTTACTGTATTTTCTTAAGAAAATCTCTGTCAGAAGTGTTGGGTCCGACTTGGCCCGGGCTGTCAAAATCAACTTAAACCTCACAGATGTATCATCAAATGGATTCACATCTTTAGATTAGTATTATATCTACCTAAATACCACTTTATTATGTCACGGTACATCGTATTTAAAGAAAACAAGGTGCTCAAAGTGAAGCATTTTTACTGTATTTTCTTCAGAAAATCTCTGTCAGAAGTGTTCGATCCGACTTGGCCCGGGCTGTCAAAATCAACTTAAACCTCACAGATCTATCTTTAAATCTGTTTACACCTATAGACTAGTGTTATATCTACCTAAATACCACTTTATAGTGTCTCAGAACGCTGTACTTAAAGAAAACAAGGGGCTCAAAGTGAAGCCCTTTTCCCCCTACATTCTCAACATAGTCTCTATCAGAAGTGTTTTGCTTGTGTTGGGTCCGACTTGGCCCGGGCGATCAAAATCAACTTAAACACACAGATGTATCTTCAAATGTGTTTACATCTATAGATTAGTATTATATCTACCTATATACCACTTTATAATGTCACGGTACATCGTATTTAAAGAAAACAAGGGGCTCAGAGTGAAGAAGTTTTACTGTATTTTCTTAAGAAAATCTATGTCAGAAGTGTTCGGTCCGACTTGGCCCGGGCTGTCAAAATCAACTTAAACCTCACAGATATATCATCAAATGGATTTACATCTTTAGATTAGTATTATATCTACCTATATACCACTTTATAATGTCACGGTACATCGTATTTAAAGAAAATAAGGTACTCAGAGTGAAGAAGTTTTACTGTATTTTCTTAAGAAAATCTCTGTCAGAAGTGTTCGCGTATTTTTGTGCTTAAGTCACTTGGACATTGTTTAGCTTCATAAACTGTTCATAAGAAACATGTCAGATAGCTTTGACATCATTGATGACTTAGTCTTATGAGATGTGTAAACCTTAGGGGAAATGAGCTCAGGTAAATACAGAAACAGAGGTTCTAAAATTGCCACAGTGTTAGGCCAGAAAGTCTATTTAGGATTTAAATTGTGATTAAGGAAGTAGAGGGTAGAGAGAGAACAAGATAACAAATCTTAGCAAAACCTACCTGCCAAACATGTGCTAGTTCGTTCGTATCCGTAATCCGTCACAAACTGTGATGAACGCATAGTGTGTTCGATGAAGGAAATACAGCCCTTCAGATCTTTGTTTACTGAATACACCTATGACCTATGTTCAGTGATATAATTTATAAGATATTGAAGCTACATGGCCGCCCATAGTTTCTTGGAAATGTCCTGGCTACACTTCAAGGTTTCGTGCTCAACAAATATATATGAATGTATATGATGTCTCATCTTGATGAACTTTAATAATGCAATTCGACAAAGAAGATGTACAAATGCCTCGACAGCATTTTTGGCAGTCAAGTACAAGTACAGGTAAACATGGCTATTAGTGCTCATGTGTGTCAGGTTGCCATTACCTCGCCGTCACATCTGTACACAAAGCAAGTGCATAGTCTAAACTAGGCTACATTTGCATTTCTTTAGCCGTTTACAGATGCCTCGACAACATTTTTCACACATGAATGACTTCAACCTTGGCTCTCAACTAGTACAGGTAAACATGGCTATTGATGCTCATGTGTGTCAGGTTGCCCCAACCTCGCCGTCGTATCTGTATACAAAACAAGTGCATAGTCTAAACTAGGCTACATATGCATTTCTTCAGCCGTTTCAATAATGCAGTGCGCTGTCACAGCATGCTGCGTAGGTCTGTACAGCACAATGTATTTTATTAGTAATTGGTCCATCCTTCATAAATCATATTTTTGCCATTCATTTCACATATGCCTCGGTAGAATTGAGGTAGGGGAAG